AGACCACCAATGGATCAAAAACTGTGGTACATACATACAATGGAATACTAAGCGTCCCTAAAATACAGTGATGAACGCATGAAGCACATTGCCGCATGGGAAGACGTGGAGGAAATCATCCTAAATGAAGTAAGTCAGGCACAAAAGGCCAAGGACAACATGAGTCCACTGAGGTAAGCTTAAAAGAAGGGGGGGTGCCCATAGGGGAAAAGCTACTATATACATACATCCCTGGAGTGAGGTCCAGCAACTATGGCAGGGACCAAACTCAATCCAGGGATACATACGGCAGCCAATTATATAAGAAAGGGAAATAAGGAGAGGAAAAAAAAGACATGGGTGGTAGGGGAGCAGGGCACTAATCCACCCAAAAGGGGGGGGGGGGTGGATATTGCTTATATCTCCACAGGAGGAGAGAGACCAGGCTTGAGCCCGATTCACCAAGATGTGAATACAACATACCGGCATGTACCAAGGAACCAATAGAGAGGTCTGCGGGACCGGCCCCAAGCCCAACTATGTGGACACCCCACACCCTCAGAAGAATACATTTCAGAAGACAGCACTGGGGTTAAAGCTTGGGGAGAAGGGCGCATCAGATTAGAACATGGAGAAACACAAAGGGATGGAGAGGGAGAGGAGGGCATCCTGACCCACCAATCCCTGAGGACGATATTCCTGCTCAGAGCAGACAATGCACAGAGAGGACCATCAGACTGGCCCCACCACGGGCCACAGTGTCCCACACTGAACCATGACACTGCGGGGGACAGCACAGGAGACAAAGTGCAGGAATAGTGTACGGTCTGGCCCCATCACGCTGGGGTAAGGCACTGAGGGCATGCAACAGAGCAGCAGGGGTGCAGAGTGATGGAACTCCCAGGGAGTACCAAAAATAGACTTGGGAGAAAGAGTGTGGCACCCCATCAGACTTGACTGGAAAACACTCATAAAGGCCAACAAACAGACCATGAACTATTTATAGGCTTTTCCATTTTTGTCAGTGGCTTTCTTTTTGTTAATGTTATTTTGTTCTTGCTTTCTGCTGTTGTTAGTGTTTTCTTGGTTTTAACTTCCTTTGTTGTTTTATTTGGCTTCACTGGTTTTTGCACTTATTAATGTATCTGCATGTCTATCTAGATAAGATAGGTGGTATAAATAATTTGGAGATGAAAAGAATGGGACCAATGGTTCCAGGGGGATACGGGAGAAGGGGAGGTAGGAGAAAGGAAGTGTGTGTAGGGGGAAACCAACCCAGGGACAAGGAAACAAGTGAACTTAAATCAATGGAAGGAAGTCACAGGATGCCTAGTGAGGCTCAATCAAGGGCAATGTAGCAGTGAGGAATTACTAAACTTGAATGAAGACTGAACATGATGATGGGACAAGAGGGAAGTAAAAGGTAAATAGAGGAAAGAACTAGGAGACAAAGAATATTTATAGAGGCCTAAATATAAGTGTGTACATATGTAAATATATATATATAATGAGAGGGGAATAGAACTATGTACTCATATCTATTTGTTAAGAATTAAGGTTGCAGATGGACATTGGGCCTCGGATTCAAGTACTCCCTTAACACAAGAACACTTTGCTCTAACAATCCGGCATTCTGTGATGCTCACCTTCCCAACACGATCGCTGAAGATAAAGCTGGTGCATAAGCAAATGTGGTGAAGAAAGCTGATGGTGTCCAGCTATCAAAAGACAGAGCAATTACAAGGATCTACATATAACTTCCTCCCTGGGGGATGGACAACAGAAAAGTGGGTGAAGGGAGACACCAGGCAGTGTAAGATATGATGTAATAATTTATAAATTATCAAGGGTTTATGAGGGAGGTGGGGAGAGGAAGGAAAAAATGAGGAGCTGATACCAAGGGCTCAAGTAGAAAGCAAATGTATTGAGAATGACGAGGGCAACAAATGTACAAATGTGCTTGACACAATGGATGTATATATGAATTGTGATAAGAGTTGTATGAGCCCCCAGTAAAATGATCTAAAAAAAAAGATAAGAGCATCTGGGGTCTTAAAGACTTGAAGATAAACAAGTGGCCATCTAGCTCAGAAGCTAGAAAGCCCACATGGAAAAAGCACACCAGCCTGTGTGATCATGAGGTATCAATGGGATCAGGTATCAGGCATCTAAGACCCAGAATAAAATCATACCCAAGATGAATGTGGGGGAAAGGTGAGCATGGAGTGGAGGAGACCAAATACCCATCTGTAGACAATTTGACTACCCCTCATAGAGGGGTCACAGGAAAGAAATGAACCAGTCAGGGTGTAGTATAGCACTGACGAAACATACAACTTTCCTCTAGCTCTTTGTTGTTTCCTTCACCCCACTATCATGACCTCAATTCTACCTTACAAATAGGATTAGACCAGGGCATGCACACTGCTACAGAAAAAGAGCAATAGAGGGAATCGAGGATAGATAAACCCCTCAGGACCAACAAGGAGAGTAGAGATACCAGGAGGAGTAGGGGAGGGTGGAGGGAGAAAGGGGAAATCGATCCCAAGGATCAACTAGAACCCCCTCCCAGGGGAACGAATAACAGAAAAGTGGGTGAGGCAGTAAGGAGGAGGATGTAAGATGTGGACAAAATAATCTATAACTTATCAAGGGTTCATGAAGGAGGGCGGGCTGGGGAGGGAGGGAGGGGGAAGAATGGGGAGCTGATATCAGGGGCTCAAGTGGGAAGAGAATGTTTTGAAAATGATGATGGTGTCATATGTGCAAATGTGCTTGACACATTGGAGGAATGTATGGATTGTGATAAGAGATGTAAGAACCCTCAATAAAAGTATTTAAAAAATAAAAAATAAAACTCCTTTGATTTTTACCAAGGGTCAGAAACCAGGCGTATTGCTTTGATAGAGACTGGTGGTACTCCAAAGACTATAGCCCTTAGTCAACCTTCATGTCTGGAACTGAATTCACCCCTGGGTTAGCGTAATCAACCATTCAAGATAAAAAAAATAGCAGCATTTACCCAAGGGCAGAGGATTAGGAAAGGAGGAATAGAAACATGAAACATTGGGAGGAAGTGGTATAAGCATTAGTACATTGAGGAGATTGAAATGGATGTTTAAATAAAATGTGTATTAAAAAATTAAATGTAAAATTAATGATCTGCTCCATAAACCTTCATCTAAATCACAATTCAGAAGTTTTGTTTTTGTTTTAAATGGGCAAAGTCTTGAGTAGCTATTTCTCCAACAAAGATACACAAATGGTCAATAAGCACGTACAAAGATGTTTAACTTCATTAGACAGACATCAGGGAAATGCAAACCAGTGCCACAATGAGATCCTACTTCACAAAAACATTATGCTAAGTGAAAGAAGACCATGTGTTCAACAGTTCCACACACATGGAGTGTCTGGAATGGGCAAATTAATAGACAGAAACTTGATTAGTGGTTACTTAATCAAGTTTCTATCTATTAATGTTTTCTCGGTTCACCCATGGAGCATGTATCAGTATTTCATTCCATTTTATGGCTGAATAAAATTCTATTGTATGGATATAGTACATTTATTTCTCTGTTCTTCAGTTGATGGACATTTGAGGTAGTTTCTGTTTCTTTGGCTATTATGAACGCTGCTGCTGTGAACACTGGTATAGCTTTTTCGCATCCTTGTCAACAGTGGTTGATGTCTTTTTTGTGGAAGGATGGGGGGATGAGTGCTAATGCATATAGGGTTTCTTTTAGGGTTATGAACTGTTCTAATAGTCTGTGGGGTTGGTTGCATAACTATGAATATACTAAAACTCACTGCATTGTACAATTTATTGGGTAAATTAGATGACCTATGAATTCAATCCAAATAAGCCTGCTTTTATAATTTAATATAGTTATTTTGATTGTTAGTATTGCCATGATTGTTGCTGTTGTAAGGGCATGTTATCAGTGCTAAATAAGCACTGTTTGCTCTCATTTAATCTTTCTAAGAAACCTGGGAGTTAGGTATTATTTTCTCCTCTGATAGATGAAGACACTGAGCCTCGGAGAGTATGAAAAACTTGTACAAGACGCCTTGACTTGTAGTTTGGGGTTGCTGTTTTCCTATTCCTGAGTTCTTCCTTGAACTCAGTTTTAGTTCAGGAAAGATAGTGAAATTTTAACAACACCCTGGAGGGGCAACAGTTAAGTACCCAGCTGCTAACCCAACCAGAAAAACCTCTCTGCGGTCACAAAGGGTTGCTATGCGCCAGAATCAACTCAAGAGCACCCAACAATAACAACAAAGATAGAAAACTCAAGATTCCCTTTTGTTTATCATGAAAGTTAAGTGAAGTATTGTATGTCTTAATAAAAATTATACAAAATTCAACTATGCAAGTAAGTAAGCATTCAATAATAAAGCCATCTTCAGTGAGTAGTATGGAAATGATTTGAAGTATTCGTAAGGAAATTAGGTTTTATCTATGATCTCACAGCAGACTCAGTTTGAGGGAAGCTATTTTTAGTCTGACACTACCTTCTGTATAAGTTAGACCACTCTAGGTAAGCCCAAAGGAGCCTTGGTTACATAGTGGGTTATGGTATGTTGAACTGCTAACTGGAAAGTTAAAAGTACAAGACCACCAGCCACTCTGGGGAAGAAAGATGAGGCTTTAAAGAGTTAGTCTTGGAAACTCACAGGGCAGTTCTACTCTGTCCTACAGGGTGACTATGAATCGGAATCAACTTGATGGCATTGAATGAGTGAGGGAAGCCCAGTGGTTCACAATGCAAATTCAACTTCCAGGAAACAGAAATTAGAATATGCCAGATAATTGGAACCTCCCCTGAGCTATTCTGGGACCCAAATAAACTTCTCATAGCAACCCTACGGAATAAGACCACTTCTCTATCTTGTGTTACACAAAACTAGAATTTATATATTTTAACTTTTTAAAAGTTATGTGTCGCTCAAAATACTAAAACCAATTTTTCCTTTATATTACTCACAATTATTCCCCAGAATCTTATGTCTACGCTTACCACAATGCTGATTCCATTCATGTGCTTCTTTTAAGTATTTCACATCAAACTGGTACTGTCCATTTACACAAAAATAATCATCAGTGCTGAGAATGACTCCACCTGGATTATCCTCTTGCAAAGTCCTGTGAAAGGTAAGGGAAATTGCTTCCATTTATTTCTAAATTCTCTCTCCTAATTCTTACAAGGCTGTGATCCACATGAAAAATGCAAGTACGGATATTTAAAGAAAAATCGTAATAAACAAACAAACATTCGATGTCCTCTAAAAGTAGAAGCTGACTCCAAAGAAAATGAACCTATAGTCAGTCTGTTTTGTTTAAGTAAATTACTGTAAACAACTTTTTAAAGGAGGATAAGAAAGTTTGGAGAGTAGCAAATCCTTAGTGTCGCGAAAACCTAAGTAACTGAAAATGCTTTCAACTCTTCAGAGCTCTATCAGTTACAGGCATACCCCTCACATAGCCAACTGATTTATAAGGACCTATTCTACCTGGTGGAGGTAAGAAGAAATCAAGGTAGACAAATAGTAAAATCGAACAGTTGTTCAAAAGTATGTATTTTTTGCCTCTAAAAGTAGAAAATGCACAGGTAATGATTTTTTATATAAATCATTTTATTGGGGGCTCATACAACTCTTATCACAATACATGCATACAAACATTGTGTCAAGCACATTTGTACATTTGTTGCCATCACCATTTTCAAAACATTTTCTTTCTCCTTGAGCCCTTGGTATCAGCTCATCTTTCCCCCTCCCTCTTCTACCCTCCCTCCCTCAAGCCCTTGATAATTTATAAAATTATTATTTTTTCATGTCTTACACTGACCAATGTCTCCCTTCACCCACGTTTCTGTTGTCGATCCCCAAGGGAGGGGGTTATATGTAGATCACTATGATCAGTTCCCCTTATCTCCCCCCACCTTCCCCTTCCTCCTCTCATTGTTGGGCCTGAGGGGTTTATCTTTCCTGGATTCCCTGTATTTCCAGCTCCTATCTGTACCCGTGTACATCCTCTGGTCTAGCTGGATTTGTAAGGTAGAATTGGGATCATGATAGTAGGAGGGGAGGAAACATTAAAGAACTACAGGAGGGAGGGGAAAAATGAGGACCTAATGTCGGGGGTTTAAGTGGAGAGAAAATGTTTTGAGAAACGATGTACAAATGCGCTTTACACAATTGATGTGTGTATGGATTGGGATAACAGTTGTATGAGCCCCTAATAAAATGTTAAAAAAAAAAAAAAAAAAAAAGAACTACAGGAAAGTTGTGTGTTTCATCGGTGCTACACTACACCCTGACTGGCTCGACAAGTAATAAATGTAACAAGTTAAATAAAATGAAAAAAGACAGACTAGTTCTCCTAACCCCTCTCTTTCATGGTTCTGGATCTTTACCTTCTACACATATTTGGGGTACATGCAAAGGGTGAGCAAATAAAGCCCAAAAAGAAATTACTAACACAACTATTTCAGCGATTTGTAAAATATCAGTTTATCCTCTCCTCCTTAAATACATATAAGTACATTGAAATCTCAAACTTTTAACTCTGATTTTTATTAGTAACTGTTATGTGTTAACAGAAAGGACAAAAATCCTCACTCTCATGGAGTTTATATTCCAGGGAATGACGACTTTTAGTTAAAGACGCCTTTTAATTACTACCCAAATTCTCTCCTTCCTTTAAGTGGTTCAGTATCTATGCTTCCTTAAGCCTTCATGTTTTCTACTGTCACTGCACAACAAAACTATTTGTTAAAGATATTCATTCATGATCATCTTTCCAAATAAACCCAGAAACCATTTTTGACCCTCATCTTCCTTGAGCTAGCACAGAGGTTTCATGCATATTGTGGACCATATTCCCTCCAAGAAAACTCAGCTTCTATGTCTTTGAACAATCCCAGTTAATAATTCTCTATCTATTCACAATGTGTGTTCTGCTTTATGGCAAGCACTTCTTTCTCGTTCCATTCCCTAACTATAATGTCCTCTGACTGGAAGACCCCTGAAACCTAGTTGGTCAAATCTTACAAGTCTACCACCTGTTAAGGTACCTATCACTTGTTAAGGTAATTTTCATCTCCTTTACAAAATGCAAAACCATGATTGACTGTAAATTCATAATACTAAATGTAAATGTGTTACTATTATTACTGATCAATGAAAAAAGACAATTATTATGGGCTTATAGAAAATATGCTTATTATAAGTGTATGAGCATCTAAGTGAGGTGTCACCTAAGTCCACATGGAAAGAGTACTCCAGAATTGTAAATAATAAAATCCAAGATCAAAGTAGAGAACTGTATTAAAGCTTAAATTCTGAGCACCCAAATTACTGACGTCTATGGATGACGATGAAACCCCAAAAATCAATTTGCAGAGTGCCTACAAGGATTGAGCCTCCAATGAATTTTCTCAGACCACTGATTAGGGATGTGAATAGTGTTGTCCTCAGGGCATATTGGAAAACAGATTACTACAGATATAGTTAAGTGAAAATTTAACATAATATCATTTGTTTTCCCTTTTGACCCATTTTAATTGGTTCTAGTTTCTATTATCTTCTGTTCTCTCGTGGATTGAGGTTTTTCTGTATTTTATTTTGTTGTTCTTGGGGTTTTTTGTATGATTTTCCTAATAAAAAACACAGAATAGCTCAATCTATAGAGACAGTAACTAGATTAGTAGTTCTTATGGTTCAGGCAGGTAATGGGGAGTTAATAATAATGAGTTAATAATAATAATAATAATGAGTATAAGAATGAGGAAAATGAACAACTAGTCATCTAAGTGAGGCACTAATTAAGTCAACATGGAAGAAGGACACCAGACTGTGATCAAAGGACTGTAAATAATAAAATCCAAATCCAAAGGAGGAAATGGTGTCAGAGCTTAAATTACAAATACTTGGTTTGCAGACGGCTAAGGATGATGGTGGAAACCCAAAATCTATTTGCAGGGTCCACACATGGATTAAGCCTCTGGTCAATCCCTTCTGATGATAGTTGAGGGATGTGCATAGCCCTGTTATCAGACAGTGTATTGTAAAGTTGATTACGACAGGTGTAGCTAGGTTAAAATGTACTATCTTATCATTTGATATCCCTTTTGAACCATTTTTAAGTTGCTCTAGTTTTTTTTAAAAAAAAGGAAAGGGAAATACTCGTGGATTAAGCCCCTGGTGAATCCCCTCTGACCATAGACCAGGGATGTAAATAGTCTTGCTATCATCCAGAATGCACTGGAAAGTGTATTACTGTTGATGCATTTAGATGAAAATTTAACATGTCATCATTTGATCTCCCTTTTGAGCTTTTAAAAATTTGTTCTCATTTTTAATATTTTCTGCTTTCTTCTCGATTGATGTTTTTATCTATTTTGCCTTTTTCTGTTGTTAGTTTTTTGTTGTTGTTTTTTGATTTTTTAAAATGTTTTTTTGTATATGAAGCCCAGGATAGGTAAATCTATGGAGACAGTAACTGGATTCATGGGTCTCGGGGTATGGCAGGGGAAGCTAGGGAGAAATGGGGAGCTAATAACAATGAGTACAAGAACGAAGAAATTGTTCTAAAATTGATTACGATGATTGTACAACTCTTTTTTTTTTCAAAACCATTTTACTGGAAGTTAACTCAGATATATCATTCCATAGTTCAATCACATCAAGCTGTATTGTATAACTGCTACCACAATTAGTTTCAAAACATTATTTTCTTCCCTGAACTTCTTGATATCAGCTCACCTTCACTCCCTTTACTACCCCACCGCCCACTGTACACCCCCACCCCTGCTGAACCAGATACCCTCATTCCATTTGCTGTCCCCATAAGTTCCTCAATCCTGGGCTTCATATATTGAAAAAAATAAACAAAACATTTAACAAAAATTCAAGAGTGACCCCAATGACATAACATATCCGAGTTAAACCCCCAATATGAACAAACAAAAATACAGAAAATGTTGAAAACAAGACCTAGCATGCATCAGAAGGGGAATCAACTAATAATATTTTAACCATTCAAGTCAGTTTTATCCTTTTGATTTTCTACAGTCATCTCTTCAATGCACTCTGTTTGGTAACCACTTTCCTCCCTCCCCTCTGTTATGGATAGAGGAAAATCACCAGAGGCTTACTACCTATGTAGATCCCACAAATGTATGTTGGGCCCCCACTGTCATCCATAGCCTTCTGCAAACTGGATTCTCACAATTTAGGCTCAGCTATTGTTCCCTCCTACAACTTTGGTATATATGATTTACAATCCTCAGTGACTGATGTTGGTGTGCTTCTTCCATGTGGATTTAGCTGACATCTCACTTAGATGGCTGCTTGTTTGGAAACAAGCCTTTAAGACCCCAGATGCTATTTTATCTGATAGCTGGGCACCATCTAATTTCTTCACCACATTTTGCTATAGCACCCGTATCTTCTGTGTTCCCTTCTTGAAGGCAAGTGTTGAGCAGGGCCATAGTGTAAGCATTAATTGTTCTTCAATTGGAGCTAAGATTTAGTGCAAGCCCCAAGCCCATTCCTGGATCTGTTTTGGGGGTTTTGGGTTTTTTTTAATCTCTCTTTGGTTCCCTTTCAAAACCTCTTTGTTAATTTATGGTAAAGAGTCTTATTGATAATCCCCCTGAGGGATAGCAATCTTTTGTGTACAATTCTTCTTGATATGATTGAACTATTGCATTGTATGATATATTATTTAAATGCCAATAACACTGTTAAAAAAATAACAAGGAAAATGTTCTAAGATTTATTGTGGTAATGACTGCATAACTCTTTTTAATATATTTAAACCATTGAATTTTATGGGTCATGAATTATGTCAATAAAACTATTAATAAATAAATACTTGGACCAACTGTTTGAATTAATGTACTCTTTCAATATAATGCAGGGGGGGAAAGTGCATGAGCAGAATATGTGGAAATTTACAAGGAGATAAAGCCAGACAAAGTATATGAAAACACAACTGACAATGATCTTGTCAGAGACATTCTCTATGTATATATGCATCTTCACGAACATTAGACACATTCTACATTAAAAAAAAAACTAGCTGCAAAAAGAAAAAGCAAACAGTTAAAAATTTGAGGAGGGTGCATAAGCAAACATGGCGAAGAAAGCTGATGGTGCCCAGCTATCAAAAGACATAGCGCTTGGGATCTTTAAGGCTTGAAGGTAAACAAGCAGCCATCTAGCTCAGAAGGAACAAAGCTCACATGGAAGAAGCACACCAGCCTATGCGATCACAAGGTGTCGAAGCGATCAGGGATCAGGCATCAAAGACCAAAAAATCATATCATTGTATGCTCACCTCCATGATACGATTGCTGAAAACAAATGGGTGCGTAAGCAAATGTGGCAAAGAAAGCTGATGGTGCTCGGCTATCAAAAGATATAGCATCTGGGGTCTTAAAGGCTTGAAGGTAAAAAAGTGGCCATCTAGCTCAGAAGCAACAAAGCCCACATAGAAGAAGCACACCAACCTGTGCGATCACGAAGTGTGGAAGGGATCAGGTATTAGGCATCATCAGAACAAAAAATCTTAACATAGTGAATGAGTGGGGGAGTATGGCATGGAGACCCAAAGCCCATTTGTAGGCCACTGGACATCCCCTTACAGACGAGCCAGTCAGGGTGTGATGTAGCAACGATGAAAAATACCAATTTCCTCTAGTTCCTAAATGCTTCCTCCTCCCCCACTATCAGGATCCAATTCTACCTTGCAAGTCTGGCTAGACCAGAGGATGTATACTGGTACAGATAGGAACTGGAAACACACAATCCAGGACGGATGATCCCTTCAGGCCCAGTGGTGTGAGTGGCAATACTGGGAGGGTAGAGGGAGAGTGGGTTGGAAAGACGGAACCGATTACAAGGATCTTTATGTGACCTCCTCCCTGGGGGACTGACAACAGAAAAGTAGGTGAAGGGAGACGTTGGAAGGGCAAGATATGACAAAATAATAATTTATAAATTATCAAGGGTTCTGAGGGAGGGGGGAGCAGGGAGGAAGGGGAAAAAATGAGGACTTGTTGCCAGGGGCTTAAGTGGAGAGCAAATGTTTTGAGAATGATGAGGGCAATGAATGTACAAATGTGCTTTACACAATTGATGTATATGTATGGATTGTGATAAGAGTTGTGTGAGCCCCTAATAAAATGATTTTTAAAAAAGCTTTATATTAAACATTTTCCTATTTCTAAAGAATAAAATAAAATATATTGTGTTAAACTTCTGAAATATAAGGGTTAGAGGAAGATGGGGGCAATGAAAACAAATCCTTTAAGGAGAGGGTGGCCCCAAGAGCACAAAAACTGCCTCCAATACTGACTTCAGTGTCCCAGACCAAAGCATCCCCAGGTTTGCCTACCACCTTTCAAGGCCTACAAAACAGACATGGATGGATAGATATATGAAGTAGAAAGATGGAGGGTACTACATGTTGTAGCAAATAAATTCACTATAAAAGTGTGAAGTTCTCTGATACTGGTAATTCAATCCAAAACTCTGTTCCCTCCAATCACACATTTCTAAACACAATAATGAACACTGTGGTACAATTCCAAATTTTCAACTACCAGTGGAATTCTATTCTCTTACTTAACATCGTCTTTCTATCAGTTCAAAATCAATTATGGGTTTTTTAACTATATAATGTCATCTTATCTCCTAGTCAGTAGCTTCACTGTTAACATTAAATATGCTCACAATCATGGTATGGTCTTTGATTTTTCTTTCTCAACATTACCTCAAAAATATTCTGTGGAGAAAATGAAATGTCTGGAGTAAACAGTGTCTGTTATTAGCTACAAAATAAGGATAAATTAGCAAATGGGAACATTTTAAGTGTTACTGAACATTTCTATTAAGCAATGTTATTTCCTATATTCACACTTTTATAAATGTTTGTGTTCCCATATTATACTTGTTTTAAATCCAAATAAACCCTCATACCTGGCCAAAAAAGATTTTCCTGATCCTGGAAGCCCTCTGAGTAGAACAAGTACTTGTCCGACATAAGATGTTTTCTTCTTTCTTAAAATCTGAGAAACTGGAGCTTCTTGTTCTTGATAAACATACATTCCCTCTTTATGGGTTCCAGAAGCAAGAGGAATAACTGGGGATGGAAATAGGTAGTTGGCAGGTATCCAGTCTGCAGCTGTGGCTACAACAGGCATTAAAAAGCCTTGGTTTCCTTTAAAGAAGTCAAAAACAGAAATTTAGATTCCACAAATGGTGAAGGTGGATAAAGAGGCAGCAGTAAAGGGAGAGCAGTAAATATCGGCAGTAATTCGCATCCCTCCCCTTTGGTGAGAGTTCAGTAGGTTTGAGTTGTTTGTAGGCAAGCCGGTCACTAGGTACAAACATACCAGGGGCAGAAGTAGATTTCTGATCCCCACCTTTGTAATAAACCAAGATCTGGAACTTGGGGGGAAAGGTTTTAAGGGACCTGAAATTCATTTGCATCCAAATCTACAAGGGCTTGGGAGAACTGAGTCTCAACATACTCACATCTTTTTTTTAAAATCATTTTATTAGGGGGTTCATACAACTCATAATACATACATCAATTGTGTAAAACGCATTTGTACATGCATTGCCCTCATCATTCTCAAAACATTTCCTCTCCACTTAAGCCCCCAGCATTAGGTCCTCATGTTTCCCCTCCCTCCCCGCTCCCCCCACACTCACATCTTAAAAGCTCTGTCTTTGATGGAGATTACTACACCCCAGGATGGAGTCACTGGCTACATTTAAAGGATGACTTAGCAGAGAAGTTTCTAGGTAGTTATATTCCAATCCAACGTGTTATCCTTTAACACACTTGGGACACATTCAAAAGTGAACATAAAATTAAGGGGGGGGGGGGAGTTAAGGAGTTTGAACTTAGTGTAGAGGCAGAATTCCCTAAAATGTCACTGTTCAAATCCTTATTTTGTACAGAAGGAATGGGAATCAAGCGACTTGATTCTGAATGTATATACTCACCTGGGTCATTCAAATTATCAACATCTTGCAAAGGCAACGGTGAGAACACTTGGCCATTGGAAAAAGAGTCCAGTGTCTCAGAAGTACCCTGCATGAAGCAATCAAAGGCTTCTGTTATCGGCATATTCACATTCTCTTTTTCAGGATCCTTTTCCATTATTTTACTTCCTGTGAAACACTCTTGGCTCTCAGAAGCAAGTGAGCTCTCTGGAGATGACTCTTCTTTCTTGGTATCAGTGCAAGATAATTCTAGTAGACAATCCATTGCACTGTCAACTGTAGAGAAAATGGTAACAAAAAACAAAAAAAATACATAAAATAAATTGTATGATAAACCAGGGAAAATTAATGGAATGTCAATTAAAATGACAGTGGAATATAAATTTACCCTCAATTCAATTTTTTTAATTAATATTTTTATTGATATACAAAGGCCAATCTGAATTATCCAGAGATTGTAATTATGGATACGTACAGAGTTATTACTTAGATAAACAGTAGCACTAAGCTAAAAAAAGCTGTCATCAAATGGATATTGGGGTTTTTTTAAATCATTTTATTGGGGGCTCGAACAACTCTTATCACAATCCATACATCCATTCATTGTGCCAAGCACATTTGTACATATGTTGCCATCATCATTCTCAAAATATTTGCTTTCTACTTGGGCCCTTGGTATCAGCTCCTCATTCCCCCTCCTCCACGCTCCCCTTTCCCCACAAACCCTTGATAATTTATAAATTATTATTTTGTCATATCTTACACCATCCGACGTCTCCCTTCACCCACTTCTCCGCTGTACATCCCCCAGGGAGGAGGTTATATGTAGATCCTTGTAATCTGTTTCCCTTTTCTCCCTCACCTTCC